TGTGTTAAACTAAGCGCTTGAATTTTGAAAAACTTATGATCCATTTCCTTATTTTTAAATGCATTTATTTCTAATCTCATTTAACAACGAAATATTGAAATTGAAAACTTGAAAACTGTTCTAAAACGCACGGCTTTTACAGAATCGTTTTCTCAAAAAAGTTTGTTCTATTTCTTACCACAAATTATTTTTAAAATGAATTAGGAGATTGCATAAAATCAAACGAAGTCATTAGTTAAGTGTCATGAAAAGTTTTCAGGAACTGTAATGGGTANCAGTACCCCCAGAGGTATTGATTTGTTGTGGGAACATGGAGGACTTTGAGACTCGACAGATTTAACGTGAATCAGTCACCATTTACTACATGGGGAGTCTTCGGCCGGCGAGGATCGAACCCACGACCTCTTGGATATGGGCCCAGTGCCCTACCGATCAGGCTATCCCGGCCTAATTAATTAAAAATGTTAAAAAAAACTGCTTAAATTTTATTTTATTCTTGATATTCAATTCTTTTTCTAAATTTTAGAAAATTTATAAGTAATTTGATTAAAGCTGATTATTAGTAGCTGCTCACCAAGTATTTTTTAACAGTATCAGCTTTTAACAGTTCAGTTGTTCAGTTCTTTAACAGTTAAAGAAAATGAAAATTCTTAATAGCTGAAAATTTAGTTAATAAAAAATCAACTAAATTTTTAGTTAATTATAAACAAAATAATAAAGTTTTTATATTATTTTGTTCGCAATTTATATACTTTAAGAAATTCAGGATGAAATTTTGGTGTAAAGTGCACTCTAAGTACAGTATCCATAAAATCTATTTTATCGTAAAACACAATTTTAAATAAAAATTTATACAGTAATGCTTACAGAAATATACAATTAATTGCAGCGATTCAATGATTTTACAATAAATATTAGTGCAAAAATTAGAAAAAAATCACATTTTTATTTTCATGAAATTTTAGAGTAAAAATGATACCCAGAGTATCAGCACTTTTTACCGTAATTTGATCCGAATATTTTTACAGTACACTTGCTTTACAATTTTAAATTTTTAAATAAAAGTGTAGAAATGTCAATATTGTCAGATATTTCTCAAAAATGCCACATATGATATAAAGAAGACAGACATTTTGTAATTGTTAAAAAATTAACTGAGTTAAATATGTAAAACAAAACTTTAAAATGAAACACCCACGAAACATCCATGAATTAGTAAAGCATGCTTTAAACAAGGTAATATTTTTGTAGTTTAATTAATTAGAGACAAAAAATATAAATCAGCACCATATTAAAAAACACAACAAGCTACAACTCTTTTAAATTCTCTTGAATCTTGAATTCTCTTGAACAATCGCTTACATAATCTGAAAACAACAATAAGCCATTGAACTATACTTGATAAATAAGCCATTGAATGTTATGGTTAACATTTAATGCATATACGAAGCAAATATTTTATAAAATATATTTCTGTTTGTAATCACTAAGAAAAATTAGTTGTTTGTGAAATGTAAAATAAACTTTATTACTATATTTTCGTGTAATGTTAAACTAAGCGTTTGAATTTTGAAAAACTTATGATCCATTTCCTTATTTTTAAATGCATTTATTTCTAATCTCATTTAACAACGAAATATTGAAATTCAAAACTTGAAAACTGTTCTAGAACACACGGCTTTTACAGAATCGTTTTCTCAAAAAAGTTTGTTCTATTTCTTACCACAAATTATTTTTAAATTGAATTTGGAGATTGCATAAAATCAAACGAAGTCATTAGGTAACTAGGTTCATTAGTCTGTAACTAGGTTCATTCCGGATCATGGGTCCATCTATACATAAAGAGAGATTAACCCCTAAAGTATGAACTGGAGGAAGGTTAACCGCCTAAAAAACACGGTAAAAAATAAATGGCGGCAACTACTTTACACGAAATTGGTACTACAATAGGTGTTCCAATTCACCAAGAACTTTCTTTTACACTACTTGATGTGAAACACCACCATTTTTTTCGTATTCATCAGTACTACAATTCAAAATAACAGTAAGATAAGAAGCACGAAAGAATCAGTAACGTTATTTTCACGATAAAATATAAAATAAGAATCCTTAATTCAGAATGAATTTATGCACTAGCTCTTAAAATAAAATTAGTTTCTAAATCAAGCATACACCTACACTGTAAAAACTGTGTTGCAATATCTTTTCGAATATGACGTTGAACAAGCCAAAAATACTGCGTGATGGAACACTTTATTAAGGGTTAATACCAAACTGAGCATTCAAATGCCATTCCAAGGGTGCAATTGTATGTGTGCTTTTAGTTGTGTAAAAAATATATTTAAATTTTTAAATCTCTGAGAACTGTAAAAATTATATTATAATGTATTATTTACGCAAAAATTAAATGTTAGAAAAAGAATGCAAAAACAAAAATAATTTACTTCTTGCATAACTAAAAACGTACATACATATTTTAATGAGACCTTTTGTTTTGGTTGATACATAGCAGCGTCGAAGATTTCCACTAACTCACGCCAACTTGCATCCAAAGGCAAAAACTCTTTAGACGATATTCAAAGCTCGCCAAATTTTTGGAAGTGAAAATTATTCTCGTTTGGTGTGAATAGGCGAGAGTTTGATACAAGCTTATTCCTTTAAATATGTTTAAACTTCAATTGTAATGTTTAAATTGCATATGGAATTTCGATTCGGTGTTAACGTTAAATAAAGTGTTTCGTCACCCAATTTTTTTAGGTTGATTGACATTATATTCAGAGACATATTACATCACAGTTTATACAGTTTAACTTTAAGGCTCAACAAAAATGTCTTAAAATAATCAGACTCAAACATTTTTCTTTAAAAAAGGCTGATTTGAATTGTTAAACTGTAACGTAATGAATTTTATTAACATTATTTTTTATCAATTTTAGGTTTCTCATATTCAGAAAAATAAAAATGTTAACTTCAAAATATATTCCACTTTTTTGACATATATTCATGAAATAGAGCAATATGTATTTGAATCTCATGAAACTTGCCCATCATGAAGTAAGCCCATTTTTGAGTAATAACTATAATGAGTCTAGAGATTAAAAATAATCAAATGATGTCATAATTCAAATAATATTAAGTAATAAAAGTGCCAAAAAATCACTAGGGTGTCATCATATTTTGAAACTTGCATAAACCTCAGAATCTAAATGAAGGTTTTAACATTTTAATGCAACGCCCTTTGTGTATAAAGAGAGCAATTCTTCTTTTTTTTTTAAGAAATGTATTACAGTTATAAAATCTTTTCACCAAGAAAATAAATTATTCAAAAACATATCTTTGCAAAACTCCATTTATTTAAATAAACTTTTTTTAAGAAGCATTTGAAATGAAACAATATGCATTTGAATCCCTTGTTACTTTGAACATGCCTATTTTTGAAATCGATTTTTGTTTCATCCATTATCGTTTTTCTCTCTATATAAAACTTCTACCCACCTTAGCACAAAATAATGCCCAATCATAACGAATGAGACTTTTTAGATGTATTGTGGGCGTGCAAATGTGCCTTCTACATCGTACTTGAGATGGATGCTTTCGTGTTTCATACAATTCGATGAGCCAGCGGGGTTACTGAACCAAATGTCTTGGAAAGCCTTTCTATCAAATGACATAATAGAGAGAAGAGTTATTCAGGGAAAGTTTCCTTTTCCGAAGGAATTCCTCGTTTACAAAAGAAGAATGGGAATTATCTAAAGGGATTATCTTGGTGTAGTTGCAAATTAGCAACCAAAAGATTTGCTTAAAAGTCTTTTGTGTTTGCAAGACTAGACACAATAAATTGTGTCGAATTAAGAGAAAGTTTAAGAATTAAAATTGGTCGAAAAATATTGTTCAAACAGTTACACTGTAAAAATACCTGATCAATTAAAGTAAAAACTACTGGCACTCAGTGTGCCAGTACTTATTACCGTAAAGTTTTGCGGAACAAAACATCTATAATACCGTAATTGTTACAGTAATATTTACTGTAATAACACTTTCATTAAATAACTAAATATCATAAAATGAAATAAAATTTTAAAACATACACGTAGCACAGTGAGAATATTAAGACTGATTTGAAGTAGGTTTAACAGAACAGAAGCTAATTGAAATTATGCATCATAAATTTATTGAAAACAGTTCACAGATATTTAAATGTTAAATGTATCAAAGTTTAAATATATATAACCATTTTCCAAAACTAAACCTTACATATTTTAAAGGCAAACTTATGTTTCTGTATATTTTTAGTAGCGTGGAAGGCAACAACAAACTCACACCAGCTCGTATTGAATTGTAAGCAATTTACCAACAACGCCAAAATTGTTGCTTACGAAAGTGAATATAATTCACAAATTAGTGTTAATGCGAGTTAGCTAGAAGTAAACTTTTTCCGTTCTAAGTGCTTAGATTTATTCACACCCTTTAAACTTTAAAAGAAGCCTCAATTTCAAGTTTACCTGAAATATAAAGTGTTCCAATTTTTCCCAAATTAGGAGAGATATACTACAGTTTTTACAGTGTATTGCAGAACCTTTAAGCTCTCTAAAGATCTTGCTTATATCTTACGTACGTAAATGTACAAAATGCTACATAAAATGCAAAATTTCTGTAATGAATCCTCGATTATTTCAGTACTGCAAAACTCCACACAAAATTAGGTGGTCGGGGAGTGTGGTACTGAAACCAGTTGATTACTAACATCATTTGGTGTTAAACAAAACTTTTAGTGGATTAGTGCGTGAATAGACCATTACTATCCTCGAATTATAAGTGTGAATGAATATTTGACTATCGCCAATAGAGTAGTAGTATAAGTCCATTACGGCCTGAACAAACAAATCAATTAGTGCTTACTAATTTCAGTTAAAGTGTCTTTATCAAAACCCTGAAATTTAAATTTTGATATCATATTTTATTTTCCTATTATAAAGACTTATATATCTTTTATTTTATAGGACTATTTAGTGTGGAAATTCAGAAGACGTTAGTCCTTCAAATTTTTATACCGGTTGGATTTGGAGCTTCGATATTAGCTGACGACACAAAACCTATTTTCTTTGGTAAGCATTTTCTCGTGCTTTTATAAACATATAACTGCAAACACTACTTTTACTTACTTTCAATCACTTTTACTAACGGTTGACATCAGAATCACAATTAGCAACAATATTTTTTAATTTAAATGGTAAATAATTTCAACGTTATATGAATAAAATCACCTGCGACCAAAATTGCATTAAAATTCTAGTTCATTAAAAAAGTTAACCTAATTCAAAATCTCCAAAAATAGTGCATCTTGCATCGTTACCAACATATTGAAAGCAAAGGTATTTAGTAAAAAAAAATATAAAAATAACCTTCATGAAGCATGATGAATTATTTGATAATAAAAGTAGAATATAAAGACAAATTATTTTTATGATTCTCATCATTATAAAAAAATTCTTTCGATATCTAATTTTAGTGTGTCAAAATTACACACTAAGAAAACAGTATGATCAAAACTACAAGAATACGTTAAAATTAATGCGCTCTAGGGGAACACCAAAAAGCACTGTAATTTTTACCGAAACGCTTTGATAATAATGTTGGTAAAATTAGCAATAAAATATCATTTTATAATATATAATAAAATTTGGTAAATGTGGAAAAAAAATTGGCAATATCACCATGAGCATGACATTTAATTGGCCAAATTTACTTTTCATTTTTGTATTTTTTACAAAATTTGTGGTAATAAGAACTATAATTTTGAAAACCATAATTTCTGGTAAACCGTTACCATATGAATGAAAAAAGTATCTTACGAATGGTTTAAATACCGTATAATGTTTTTGTTCCATTAACAATAATTGTGAGTTTTTTGCTGAAAATGTCATGACCATAGAATACGGTAAATTTACAAGAATTTCTTTCTTCGTTCAAGATAATTGGAAAATAAAGCTTTTCACTACATTTTATCAGAAGACTGTATAACAAATTAAATTCTTTACTGTTCATGATATTATACAGATATTTGAAAGAGTATCATAAACATCTCTTATCCTTAAACCAAAACCATGAACAAGACCATTTTCAAAGAACGTGTAAATAACTATTTTTAAATTCTTGTACAAAATATTAGTTTATTTTTAAAAAAGGCATATCAGAAACTAAAATATAAAACATAAAATAAAAACTTTCTTCCTTTAAAGCTAAAAGCAGGAGCGATAATTAATTATCAGTCACAATTGCTACTATTTTTTGGAATTCTTTTTTGAATTAATTATTTAGAGACACATAAAAAACTTTTCTCGAAAATTGGTTGTCTATTTACCCCAGAGACTATATTTGATATTTGAAAAATATTAAAAATTATCCTTTCAAAGTTAATCTTACCATTTTACCAATTATTATTTCTATTTCAATTACTCAAATGAAAAGACTTTATTTATCATAAATATCTAGCAGTTATTTTTTACAGTAACCAGGAATTTTTAACTACTTGTTAATTGAAAGAAAAACAGTGCATTCTTCTTTTATTGTTACATTTAATTCAATGTATTTTTATTTTTGAGTTTTAATACTAATTATCACTATTACTTAAAAGCTCAAAAAAATTTTGCATTTATGTGTTTTGCTATATGTTTATGGATTAAAAGCTTAGCTAATGGGAAAAATAAATTTCCATATTTCTTTAGAAATAATTTTTTCTTCATATATAAAGTAATGTTTATCAGGTTATTCAGTTAGTGAAATGAAAAACTAGCATTAGAAACATATATATAATATTCCATTATCTAGCAACGTTATTTCTCTTGGGAGAAACGTAACAAATTTTTAATTAATAAGTATTCAAAATTAATTTTTAATTGTTAAATAACATGACAAGTAAGCAAATAAATACAAGAAAACACGAAGAAAATTAAGAAAAACAATAAGTTTCATTTATTGCGCATAAGCTGCAAGTAAACAGAACTCATTAGATAAGTTCAAAATGAAGATAAAACAAAGAAAAAGTATAGACATATGAAAAAAGGGGGAATATAATAAGTAAAAAAATAACAAAATACAGTTTTAAAAAAAAAAGGATGAAATTTTATTTAAAAAAACCGAAAAAAAAAGATATTATCTTTTTATCAGCCCACACGATTATTTCCGCAAAAAAGAGTGCTTTCCGATATTGTATCAATAAAGCCGTAGCAAAATATATTAATACAATAGTGTGAGGAGCACTGACAATTTTTTTTTACAAAAATTACAGCAAATAAAATGGAACACACACACACACATATATATATATGGTATCGGTATACCGGAAATTCTGGTTTTCAAAATTATTGTTCTTATTACCAGACATTTAGTAAAGAATACAAGACTGAACTGTTTATTTAACTGAATAAATGGCTTTTATGTACTGCTCTAAAGTATCATGATAAAATAACAAAATCTTGCATCTGTTGCCGAATTTTGTCACAGATTATGAAACCATACTTTATTGTTAATTTTACCAAAATTATTAAAGGTTAAAGGTAAAGGCTTACGTAAAAATTTCCGACCTTTTTCGTCCTTCCATGGAACCGGAAACATGATAAATTTTACCATATTCAGATCATTTTAACCAAACTTTTTTCTCAATGTACAAATGCAAACTGAATATTTGTTGGACTTTTAAATAATAATATGATTCTTGTTGTTCCATCTCTGATAATCTCTGTCCCAAATTTTAATTATTTCAAATTAATGAAAATTTATACTTCTATAAAAATCGTTTTTTTCAAATTCATCTCTAATAATATTAAGTATAGAAATGAGAACATCTAAATTATAAAAATATAGTATAAGAATATGAAGTATAAAAATATTAAAACAACCATAACACTCATATTTAAAATTTGTGTAAACAATTTTAGCTCTATTCATTGCAAGATAATAAATATATGAATAAATTAATAAAGTAAATCTAAAACAAAACTTAATTTAAAACTAAAATTATGTATCTCGTCGATCGGATTAATGAAATGGAATGATGAAATGAAATTATGAATGAAATGTATATGAATGTTTTAATGAAATATGAAATGAATGTTTTAATGAAATGAAATTATATTCAACAAAGTACATCTAATTTAAACGAATTTGATTCAATGACTATAAATTTTATTTTGCAGTTAAATTATATCTATAATAATCGCAATTAAAAATCAAAGTTTTTAAAAAAACTGACAAAATGCTTTGGCACCATACAATAATACTTTCCATTTGTCTAACTTAAACACATTTTTTTATTTAAAATTCTGTTAACCATTTTAAATGAAAATTTAAATGCGTTAAGGAGCTTTCAAATGCTGATTCTCAAAAAATCAGTTGTTTACAAAAATAGCGAAGGTAACAATAAAACAAAGCTGAGTGACAAGTTATTTCTAAACTTCCAACTCAATGTTATTTTCGCTGCACTAGCACTTTTCTCATTTCCTTCTATTAAGCTTTGAATTTTCAAAAAGCCAGAAACATTTCTTATTCCTATTTTTTTCTTTTTACTTTTTCTTTTTACATTTTCTTTATAACTTTTAAAATGTCATTTTCCAAACATGACTTTCAAAAATTTTGACAGAATTATATTCCTAAGATTCCTATTTTGCATTTACTATTTGTACTACAACTTATGCTGAGTCCCGTTTGAAAAATCATATATGAGATGTAATTTGAATTTAAAGTAGTATTACTTTAATGTGAAAGATAAAGTTAGTTATGAATTATTTATACAATAAGTTTAAGTGTAAATGTTTAACAAAATAAACTATTTTCTTCGTGTGCCAAAATATTTATTTGAGATTTATTTGATTTGAAAATTAGCCATCAAAAGTTAGGTTTTTTTCTCTCTCATCATGCACTGTTAGACATTTCTTGGAGAAAATAGTTAAATAACAATTTATTGCATTGTTATTTTATCATATTCCGACAAAACAGGCAAATAACCATAAATAAGATGGTATTCAAACTTTTAACTGTGAGAAAACCTTTTACTAACTGGTTTCACCTAATAAGGTTAAAGAACCAGATTTTTATCGCACCAATTAGCCCATCTAATGAAGCCACAAATATATATATATATATATATATATATATATTAACATTTTGTATTGTGTACCTTAGCTCCTTTGTCTGAAATTTCATTCCTAATTTTCTGCAAATAGAAAGTCACATTCTTTTACTTTTCTCTCAAATCATTTGTTTGCGAGGGAAAAAATATACATTAGCAAAAAAATCGATCATCATAATAGCTATATTCTAAGAGCAAACAAAATCTCTTATTTTTTTCCTTAACATATCAAACAATTCCTTATGTAATTTAACGTTAAGTGCCTTTTCACCTAGCAAGTTAAAGTGGCTTTAACATCATTTAGCTCGTAAAAGTATTCAGCCCTCTGTAAAACTTATTGTTAAATTTTAAAAAAAAGTATTGCATTTTATTTAGAAAAATTTACTTAAAAGTAGGATTTGATTGTATATAGGAATTATTTTATATTTTAACATTTTAAAATTAAACTTTACGTACTACTTAATTAAAACATTTTGTTAATTTATAACATCAAATATGTTGCATTTTATTTTAAAACATAATTTAATAAGAGAATTTAGTTAATACTTGAATATATCAAATTAATTTTAACGTAATTTAACGTTTAGATGTACATAAATAAATCTTAACGTAACTTAAATTTTAGTTTAGTTTTTTGCTTGTTAAAATGCTTTTTAATGGTATCACAACTTGGTTCACCGAAATATTCAGCCCCCAATGAAATGCATTGCTTACTTAAAATTTTAAAATGTTTAAACTTATTTAAGAGATTTCACTTAGTAATAGTACCTATTCCATAATTTTATATTGATATTCATCTTTGAATAATAAAATAGTGTCAATAATTAGAAGGATTTAATTTAATTTGTATTAATTATTACTTCATTTAATTCCACGATTCTACGTTTCTTTAACTTAATTAATTTTACATTTCTAATTCGTATTTCATATTTCTAATTCGTATTTATTTCGTAAAAGCATATATCGTTATTTCAATTTCAATAT